CAAAAACCAAAACAAAAAAAGGTAAAGAGGGCTAAGGCAAAAGCCTCTGCCACCCAAGTCGAATAGGAAGATATAGTACCAATCTCGAAGCTTGCCGAGATCGAGAAAACAGTCCCTGCTGCCGAGAAGAGGCTTGTTGAGGCCGATCCAACTGATACCGCTCCGTCAAAGAAGCCGAGGTCCGAAGCTGCCGTAACCTCTGGTACATTTAAAGCCAATGAGCCCTGGGCCCCAGCCATAATGATTGGGATTGGCCAATGAAGGCTAATGACAGCACCATCGATAGTATTGAGGTCGGTACCGCTCTCTCAATAGCTGTGCTCCTTCCAACCAATCTCACTCGTATGGCCGAGATCACTAAATATGAGAATTTTGCTCTGATGATGTAGTATTCCGTTTTGGTAAGCATCTAACACTTGGTACTCTTTTATCTTGTTCGAACTCTAATTTTCATACTTAATGAATTTTCTTTGCCTTCTTGCAGGCAATCCAAGACGCCCACTCTTTCGCCACGAAAGTTGAGGCTTTCAAAGAGGAGTTAGTGTACAAAACCAAGGAAGCTGCTGGTTTTCTCTCTTCTCTAAACAATGCTGAAGCCAAAATCAAAGTTCTGCTTGATCAAGCCAAGGTAGCCAGACGGACCCAAGATCGGGCCGAGGAAAAAACTGAGGTGGCCGAGGCTGTAGCCGAAGTGTTGAGATCTAAGATCAAGGATGCGAAGGAGAAAACTGCCAAGGTCAAGCCGGAGCTCCAAGAAATGCTGGTTGCGAAGGAAGCCGAGGTTAAGGCGACCGACGAGAAGGCCTTCTCAGAAGGGCAAGCTGTAGTTCGCGACCCGTACAAAGATCAAGTCAACCAAGCCTATAACATATCTCGGTTGGACTACAGCCTTTAACAAATTATTTGTCCCTATGGACTCTGACCTCTGGGATATAAGCAAACTCCAAACGTCATTCCCTCTAACTTCCAAAGAGTCAAATGGGGAAGCCGAGAAAGAGGGATATAAGCAAACTCCAAACGTCATTCCCTCTAACTTCCAAAGAGTCAAATGGGGAAGCCGAGAAAGAGGAATCCGGATCCAACGACGCTGAGGAGGAAGATGATACTGCTAAGGGGACCAAGTCCCCAACTTTGAATGATCAAGTCCTAAACTTGACTCATGATGAGGAAGACTTGGTTTCCAAGGCAGCCTCTCCAAAACAAACCACTTATGAGGCCGAGGTTCAGGCAACCGAGAGGAGTTTGAACCAAACCTTGCTGGAAATTGATGCCGAGATAGTGGCGGAGAAGGAAACCAGTTTGCCAACCGAGGTCGACACAACGCCAACAGCCGAGGTTGAGCAAACTGAAACTCATGCCCATGCCTTCAACACTTAGAACTTTTTTCTTTTTATCTGAACTTTTCTTCTTTCAGTCTGTACTTTTTGTCTGAACAATTCTAAACTTCAATTTGGTTGATGTGTCTTCTTTTGTATCCAAACAAGTTGTCTTTTTGCCAGGCCGAAGTGCTTTTTTGTCTGTGAACAAGTTCCATCTTCTGAATGCAAGTCTTTATGCCTTCTTTTCTTCTATGCATGTTTACTGCTTTCATACTTAGGTTATTTTTGCATTTCTTCAAAGTATACCTTAGCTGTATAATAACTCCAGAATATAATACCTCGGATATAAACCTTGACTGTTTGCCTCGGCCAACAATTGGAATACCTTGGATAACACTTAAAAAATATTTTTACAAGTGTTTATTCAGTCAAACATTCCTTGTTTACCTCCATGAGCTGTCTTCTATTAAGACTTCATTCTTTCCAAGTTTTAACAACCTAGTTGGTCATCTCGGCCAATATGTATCTCAGATACTTCTTTCAATATTACCTCGGTTAACTTCAACTTGTAAATTTTCCTGAAATTTCAACAAGTGTTTAAGCCAATTCTAGCTTGTAAAAAATTTCAACAAGTCTTCCCAAGCTCTCTGCCTCTTAATGTGAACCTAAGTTTCACTTAAGTTCACATTAAGCACTTATAGTCTTTCACCGAAGTCAGATTCGAACAAAGACTAACCAAGATGTTCAACCTGGGTTTCTCTGTTAATCCGATTAAAGCACACTTAGTGCCATTCGGAATTTAACTCTGCCGACATGGCAAATCTTAGTTCAATTCTATCATATGCAAGCACAATTCGACTCTGTCATATGATAAGTTTATTCATTATATTTTATTTAGAAACATCGCCAACTTAGTTCAACTCTATTATATACAAGTATAATTTAACTCTGCCATATAATAAGTTTAAGTTATTTATCATGTTTCATTCAGAAACATTACCAACTTAGTTCAACTCTATTATATGCAAGTATAATTCAACTCTGTCATATAATAAGTCTAAGTTATTCATCATGTTTCAATCAAAAACATCGCCATAGGACTAGTCAGTCCTATCACACAAATTTCAGATTCATAAAAATCAAACTAAAATTTTATTATTACTTCGGCTATGACATAAACTTCAAAAAACAAAAATCTAATGATAGAAAAACTTCAGGTTGCAAGTGTTCAAAGGTCTTGGCAACTCTTTTCCATCACTGTCTTCAAGTAGATATGCCCCATTACTGGCGACTGAGATGATTCTATAAGGCCCCTCTAAATTTGGGCCAAGCTTGCCCTCCCTAGAATCCTTCTTGCTGCCGACTACTTTCCTTAACACAAGGTCCCCAACTTTGAACTCTCTAGAGTTGACCTTCTTGTTGTAAGCCCTAGCAAGTTGTTGCAGGTATGCCCCCGGCCAAATTGCTGCTCTCTCTCTTTTTTCTCCTCCAGTAAGTCTAGATCTCGGGCTAGAAATGCCTCATTAGTACCGTTTTCCACTCCCTGGGTTTTGATCTCTGGAATGCTGACTTCTAGTAGAATAATTGCTTCAGTGCCATAAGTCATGGCAAATGAAGACTCTCCATGTAATGACCCCAAAGTACGTATAGAAAGTCATCCTTATTTAATTAGGGTTTAATGCCAAGAATGCCTCGTTGGTTCCATTCTCCACTCCCTGGATTTTGATTCTAGGGATGCCAATCTCCAGTGGGATGACTGCTTCAGTGCCATAAGCCATAGCAAAAGAAGACTCTCCAGTTGATTTTCTCGGCGTAGTCCGATATGCCCAGAGTACATTGAGCAACTCCTCCACCCACTATCCCTTTGTTGCTTCCAGCCTCTTTTTGATCCCATCCAAGATAATCTTATTGGATGCTTCTACCTAACCATTACTCTGGGAAAAACTTGGAGTAGAGTAGTAGTTCTTGATTTTGTACTTTGCATAGAAACTTTTGATTAACTCACTGTCAAACTAAGTGCCATTGTCTGCTATTATTGCCCTTGGAATCCCAAATCTGGTGATAATGTTCTTCCATATGAAGTTCTTCACATCAATATCTCGAATCTTTGCAAGGGGCTCAGCTTCTACCCACTTTGTGAAGTAATTAATTGCTACCAGCAGAAACTTCCTTTGCCCAGTTGCTTGGGGAAGTTGTCCAACAAGATCTATGCCCCACTGCAGATAATTGTCCTATAAGTAATCTTCACTCTTTTACCATTTTCTCTTTCCACACTTTGAATTTGGATGTAAGGCTAGAACCATTGAACAACTTGTTTCCGGGGCTTCGATTTGGACACAAGAACGACCTAATTAAATGGAGTCCCAATGAGAGAGTTATACCCGTTTGAAATTTTCACATCTGTGTTGGAAGCAGAGCCGCACGTGCGGGGAATAGCGCCGCACGTGCGGTCTGTGCGGGACAGCAGCTCTAAAAACCGGATTTTTGGGCCATTTCTTGCAATTTCTTTTCCTCTCTTCTTCTCCTCTCTTCCATGTCCAAAACCCTAGCCCCAAATCCTTGAATTCCTTTACTTTGCTCATGATCCACCATGGTTTTTGGCATCAAGGATGGAGAACAAGGGAGGATCAATGTTTTTACCCGATTAGAACTTGGATTTGTGAAGGCTTCTTCTCAAGCTCACTTCTTTGCTTGATTATTGAGGTAATGGTTTGAATACTCTTCAATACTTATATCCATAGATAGATTTGTGACATTTTATTATCTAAATACAAAATTTCCATATTTAGAGCATGTAGTGTATAGTATGAGATTTGGGGTTTTATGGTTTGAAGATGTTGGGAGTTAACGATACCTTCTACAGCTTGGCCCGCAGCAGTACCTTGACCAACTCCAGGTCCAATAGAAGCAAGTCCTACGGCCAATCCAGCAGCAATAACGGAAGCGGCAGAAATCAGTGTTAGGTACGAACGTTCCTCGCTCCAAAAAATAATGGGTTAAGAAGTTTGAATTTTTCTTGAAATTTCTAGGTTTTTCTAGAAACCCTAGGTTGATTTTTGATGATAATCAATTATTTGGCCCAAATTGAAAGTTGAATCATGAAATTGGTAGGTTGAATTATCTATGTACAAGTTTAATTGGAATTTGGTTATGTTTGAAAATTATGTTTAAAATTTGCGAATGAACTTTGTTATGAATATTGGAATTCATGCTAGCATGTGAAGGGAAAATTGGGGAAATAATCTATTGATGGTATGAATGATATGAACTTGGTTTTGGAATGTTGAAATAGAATTTAAGAATTTCTCTTGAATTATGTTGAATTATATTTAATGATGTTGAGTTGAATCATGTTGCTTATATTGAATTATAGTGATTATGTGAGATGGTATTGACTATGTTGACTTTGATTTTTGTGACCTAAAATGTAGAGTTTTCCAAAATGGGTTAATCCCAAATTATTTTGCTAAATACTTGTGGGCTTGCTTAGTTATTAAAATCAAGAGAATGATTTATTTTTGGAAAAATGTGGAAGATGTCCATACAATTCCTTCCTATCTTGAAATCGAAGTGATTGATTAAAAATTCCATATTGTGTTTGTAAGAATGGTAATCTTCTATTTCTATATATAGATATATTGAGATGGAGGAAATTGTGGTATAATGGATGAATAATGGTTGGCTTGTGAAGAATAATGAAGGAAGGAAAGAGAACTAATGACTAACTTATATATGTGTACAGGGCATACTTCAGGAGGGCCAAGCACTCCGTTGTAGCACTGTGAGTAGTAGTACTTCGATGTATCTTTAACCATTAATGATTATTGTTATCGACGTTACGATCTTCGTCATAAGAATTATGTTGACATGTATGTTATGTATGCTACGTAAATATTGTGAAATTATGGAAACACCAAAGGTGTATGCTATATGAGGAACATTGTGAAATTATGGAAACATCAAAAAGGATTTGTGAAATATGCATCTCGAATTTGTGAAGTATGGATCACCAACTGTGAAATATAAAACGATGTGGCCGAGGGCCATTTGTGAGGTATGAATTTCCGAGTTGTGAATTGTGAAACTATGAAGCCAAGAGCCGAATTGTGAACCTACGAAACCCAAAAGCTAATTTATGTATATGTGAATTTATGAGGCCGGGGGCCGACTTGTGAATTTATGAGGCCGAGGGCCAACTTGTGAATTTATGTGGCCAGGAGCCATTTGTGAACTATGAACCTATGTGGCCAGGGGCCATTTGTGAAATTATGAAGCTATGAGGCCAAGGGCCAAACTTGTGAACTTGTGAATTTATGAGGCCGAGGGCCGACTTGTGAATTTATGTGGACAGGGGCCATTTGTGAACCATGAACCTATGTGGCCAGGGGCCATTTGTGAAATTATGAAGCTATGAGGCCAAGGGCCAAACTTGTGAACTTGTGAATCCAAAGGGCCGAAGGCCGATGTGATAAGTTGTGAATCTATGAAACCAAAAGGCTATCGTGAATGTGTGAACCCCTCAGGCCAAGGGCCGAACTGTGGAATTGTGAAACCAATAAAGTCATCTGTAATCTAATGAAAATATGCTTACTTTGTCCTGTTAACTTTATGTTAATTATGTCAACTCGTGGGAATGATGTAACGGTTACCATTAGGACTCTATTAATTACAAGGCAAGGCAACTATGTTAACATATAAGAACGATTAAACAACGGTGTATACTATTGATTAATAGAGCACGTGAATTAAGTCGTTTACCCAAAAGAATTTATGTTCATTCTTGAAGAATAGATTCTGAGTAAATATAAGAGTAGCCATGTGTATCCTTATGAATTTGAAGTTATTTTGCTATGTTGCTTATGAATTGGAAGTTATTCAGAATCTACGATATAAGTGCAAAGTTTAGCATTATTATGTGACTCTCATGAGAATGTGAATTAGTCTCTTATTGTTAAGCGTACGAAAATGACATAATACAACAAGAAACACTCTAGTTATAATATGTTCCGTTTGAATTAATGAATGATGTTCAAGTATGCTGAGGTATGTTTCAAGTATATGTTATAAGTTTGAATATACTATAAGGTCAAACAAGTTTCAAGGGCTTTATGCCAATGTTTCAAGGGCCTCGTGCCACCACATTTCAAGGGCTTATAGCCATCAAGTTTATGTTGCAAGATTGGGTCTAAGGCCGTTATGTACTTAGCACAGAATCAGACTATTACATTGACATGTATTATGTTTCAAGTTAAGCATCATTTTATTTATGTATTACTATTCACTGAGCCCGGCTCACTCTCTATTATGTCTGTTTCTGTAGGTCAGCAACCAGGTGGTCAGTCCTAGCCAAGACGTCCGCTTTCTTTTGTCAACCTTCGTATGTCCAGGCACTGTATAAGCCATTTATTTTGTCAAGTTGTTAAGATGTTGACTTGCTTATGGGTGTCCCTCTAAGGTTGCTGTATATACTTTCATGTTCATTTTTTTTTGTATACGCCCAATCATGGGGCTGGCATTGTAAATGTGTATGTATATGCTCCGGGTTATAGTTGGAACTTTATCTATCCACTATAATGCATGTGATGAATGAGATCCTGGCATGTAGAAGTAGCTCAATGGAGTTTATTTGTTTCATTATTTCCATTTTTTTCGTGCTTCCGATAAGGCCCCGTATGTTATGTTACCAGGTTACATGTTCGTTTCTGAATAGGTCATGCCCAAACTTTTAGAGGCGGGTTTGGGGCGTGACACTCCAGTTGATTTTCTCGGCGTAGTCCGATATGCCCAGAGTACATTGAGCAACTCCTCCACCCACTTTCCTTTTGTTGCTTCCAGCCTCTTTTTGATCCCATCCAAGATAATCTTATTGGATGCTTCTACCTAACCATTACTCTGGGGAAAACTTGGAGTAGAGTAGTAGTTCTTGATTTTGTACTTTGCATAGAAACTTTTGATTAACTCACTGTCAAACTAAGTGCCATTGTCTGCTATTATTGCCCTTGGAATCCCAAATCTAGTGATAATGTTCTTCCATATGAAGTTCTTCACATCAATATCTCGAATCTTTGCAAGGGGCTCAGCTTCTACCCACTTTGTGAAGTAATTAGTTGCTACCAGCAGAAACTTCCTTTGCCCAGTTGCTTGGGGAAGTTGTCTAACAAGATCTATGCCCCACTGGGCAAACAGCTAAGGGTTAGATACTGGGTACAAATCTGCTACTGGTTAATGTATCAAGAGTGCAAACCTCTAACACTTCTCGTACTTTCGGACGTAGGCTTCAGCATCCTTCTGCATGTAGGGCCACCAATACCCCTGAGTAATTGCCCTACGAGCAAGCGATCTGCCCCCGGTATGGCTGCCATGTACTCCTTCATGTATTTCATACAATAAGTCTTCAACCTGGAAGGGATGCAAACACCTCAAAACGGGACCAGTAAAAGACCTTCTGTAGAGATGTCCTTCTGCTATTAGGCTAAACCTTGTCGACTTTAGTCTGGTCTTATGCACCTCTTTGCGATCATCTAGCAGTTTTCCGTCCCTAAGAAACATCACTATTGCATCCATCCAACTTGGACTCATCTCCACACACATTGCTTCATACTCTGTGATTAGTGGTTCCACACTTGGGCCTGACAAATTATCAACCATTATTGTCCTTGTCTCCCCTAATTTCATTGCACTAGAGAGGTTAGCCAAGGCATCAGCATGGCTGTTGTCATCTTGGCTAACTTGTTGTAGTCGACAATCCTGAAATAAGGCTAGCAGCCCAATAACTTCTTTGACATAGGCTATCATTCTTTTATCTCGGGCTGCATACTCGCATGTTCCCAGTTTATAATAAGTTGGGAGTCACAGAAGACTACCACCTCGTCGGCTTCCATTGCTGCTGCTAGCTTTAGCCCTGCGATTAGTGCCTCATATTCTGCTTCATTGTTTGAGGTTTTGAACCCCAAACGAATAGACTGTTCCAGCATTCGCCCATCTGGTGATACCAACACTACTCCTACCCCCCGCTCCTTAACGATTTGAACTCCCATTAACAAACAGGCGGAAGGTGTTGTCGATGTAAATATCGTAGGACTTGGGTTTTTCTTCTTTCTTCTGTTCTGCTGTGGGGTTTTTCATTCCCAGCTAGGTCTTCTTTTGTTCCCCTAGACACCCTAAGTCGCGGTTCACTAGAGCCCAATGTGGGATGGCACTAGGTGTGAACTTGGCCACAAAGTCAGCCAGAGCCTGGCTTTTGATTGTCGTTCTGGGTCTAAACTCTAAGTCATACTGGCCTAATATCACTGCCTACCTGGCTACCCTGCCTGTCAAATCTCCTTGCTGTAATAGGGAATTCAAGGGATGCTCAGTCAACACCACAATCTTGTGGGCTTGGAAGTAATGATTCAACTTTTTGGAAGTCATTACCAAGGCCAGTGTCAATTTCTCCAGGGGCAAGTACTTGGTCTCTGCACTTGCTAAGGTTTTACTCATGTAGTATACTGCCCTTTGTTCTCCCTTCTCAAGTATAAGAACAGTTCCTTTCCAGGTACTGGTTTTGAAAGAACTGGAGTTGTGGTCAGGTATTTTTTTTAAGTCGGCCAAGGCGACTTCGCACTCATCTGTCCACAAAAAATCTGTGGCCTTTTTCAATAAACTAAAAAATGGTTTACACTTATCTGAACTTCTGTTTATAAACCTATTCAGGGCTGTGGCCCTTCCTGTCAGTAGCTATACTTATCTTGCCGATGTTGGGCTCTTCAAGTCAAGGATAGCCTTGATTTGATCTAGACTTGCCTCAATGCCCCTTCTAGTAACCAGGTATCCCAGAAACTTACCAAACCTAACTCCAAATACGCATTTCGAAGCATTGAGTCAGAGCCGATATGTTCTAAGAATGTCGAAAATTGCCTTCAAGTCGGCCAGGTGATTCTCAGGCTCGTTGGTCTTCATGACCATGTCATCAATGTATACTTCCACCGTTTTGCCAATCAGATGTCTGAATATCTTGGTCACCAACCTCTAGTAGGTTGCTCCTATATTTTTCAACCCGAAAGGCATCACTCTGTAGCAATACAGCCCTTTTGGGGTGATAAATACAGTCTTATCCTCATTTGGAAGGTACATTGTTATCTAATGGTACCCCCTGCAAGCGTCCAGGAAGCTCATCCTTCTATGCCCTGAAGTGGCATCGACAAATTGATCGATCTTGGGGAGTGGGAAACTATCTTTGGGACAAGCCTTATTCAGGCTGATGAAGTCCACGTAGACCCTCCACTTCCCATTCTTCTTTTTCACAACAACTGTGTTTGACGACCAAGGTGGGTAGTTTACCTCCTGAATGGCTCTAGCCTCCAACAATTTGTTCACTTCCTCCTCTACTGTCTCCACATAAGCCAACGTCGGCCTCCTTGCTCATTGAATGACGGGTTTAGCCAATCAATCTACATTTAGTCTATGGCAAGTGACCTCGGGATCAATGCCAGACATCTCGTATGACGTCCAAGCAAACACCTCTATGTTTTCTTACAAGAATGACTCTAACTCCCTTTCCTCCTCCTCGGCCAGTCTTGAGCTGAGAAGGAAGAAGCGCTCTTCATCACCTTGTTGGACCAGAATTTTCTTTAAGGCTTCCTCGCTTTTGTCGGCCGGCTCTTTGCCGACATTGTTCAGGACCTCCATGTCCTCGTCCTCAATTTTTATTGTTTCTGCCTCTCGCATGTTGCAGGTGGATTTCATTGCTGCCATGGAGCAATTCTTTACCTACACCTGATGTAACGCCCTCAAAATATTATATAAATTAGTCATATTATATAAATTAGTCATTCATCAGAGTCTGTGTTACAAAAGATATTACATGCATTACACTTTCATAAATATTCATCTCGAAACTATAGCATGTAACTCTAACAACTAACAATAAAATATATGCCCTACGGGCTTATATCTTTCGAAGTTATCACTTGGTTACAACAAAAGAAGAGGCCTAGCTCTATACATATAAAGCCCTCGGCTTGAATTTACACTTAACACAAAGCAAAATAGCAAAATGGAGCCTTTAGCCTCTAAACCTCCCAAGTTATGTCTTGGGAGGCGGCATGCCACCTGTACCTGAAAATGGTTTCCAAGTAGGGTGAGCTAAAGCTCAGTAGAGATATGCTAAATAATATATGAGAATTAACTAAAATATGAGCATCAGATAAATGTGCAACATCCCTAACCAGCACGTATTCTTTTCAAGGTCATTCAATATAGATAGCAAATATCTCAATTCATTTCCATTCTTCCATTTCGGGTAAATCAATTAACCAAATTCATTATTATCAAGCAACCAATATGAGACTACAACTCAATGGTTCATAATTCAATACATTCATCAATCCAACACTTCTATTTCTTGCCATTTTACGGAACTACATCCGAGGGAACCGGCACCCATAAATATATAAGATTTCGGGATTTTCACCCTGGACACTCCGGTCAACTTAATTCTCAATGGAGTCCGTCCCCTATCTCCTCCCAAACAATGGAGTACATCCCCTATTTCCTCCTAAACAATGATACATATACAATGTATTTAAACACGTCGTCATATACAATGACTAATCAAAACACATATTCAATGGTTTAATCAAACCGTCATATTCAATGACAATATTCATATGACTAGTTTCGATTTACCTAGTCCTCATGCAATTTCTACAACAATCACAACTATCCTCCACCGATAGCCCAAAACAGCATATCTAAACAGATAAATAAATCTATCAACAGATAATTTATCAAATTCCATAGATTAATGATTTATCAAATCCACTACACATCTTACTTGTGCATTCTTCCAATTTCATATTTTTCATAACAATTTCATTATTTATACCAATAATTTATTTAATTCATATTAGGGCAAATCTCCCTCTTTTTCAAACATCAACCCCCAAGACTCAATTTCATCATTTATATACAAATAATCCCATTTTCAAGAGCTCACATACACATATGGAGTCCAAAATAGAAAACCCCTCTTTCAAATATCAAAACCTTAACCTTAACTTCACCCAAATCTTCCTAAATCCCACCATTTATACAAAATAACAAATATCTAAGTTAAAACTCATATTAAAGAGTAGAATAACCCTACCTCAAATGTAGATCTCAACAAGGAAAAAAGAAAAACTTGAAGATGCCCAAAACTTAAACTTCTTCAATTCAAAAGGAAGCCCACGCAAAACTCTATCTTTTTAACAAAGGGAGTAAGGTGAAGAAACCTAAGATCATGGAGTATTTGTACAGGTAGAGAGACAGAGAGTTTAGAGAGAGAGAGAGACAACCGAATTAGGGTTTTGAGTGAAAAGGAGACCCAAAAGTGATATAAAATCACGCTGCTGCAAACTGATATATGCAGTCCTCGTTCAAGCGAAGGAGTCGTTGCTCGAGCGACCAGACACAACAGTGACCTCGCTCGAGTGTAAGAAGCGTCGCTCGAGTAGAATGCAAAGCTTCAAGTCTGCCACTAATGCAGATGCACGCTCGTGCGCAAAAAGTCTCGCTTGAATAAAGAAACAATTTCACAAGGCTCGCTCGAGCGCAAGAAGCCTTGCTCGAGCGACGTACTTTCACCTTCCCAGAAAAGTTTCGTCTAGGAGAAAACC